TTTCTCATTTGGTACTAGGCAGTCCTTAGGGCTTCAGAAGTACAGCTCATTTATTCTTCATAATGCAATGGCTATTACTATTGGCCCCATTTTATAGATGAGGAAGCTGAGGTATGTAGAGGTTTAGTAACTTGTAAGTGGTAGTGAAACTGTCGAGCCATAAGGTATAAATAGCATTCTGAGTCTGATTTTCATAAAAGTATAGATATAGCCAGAAGTTAACCAGCCATTGTTCCCTAACTTCCTTAGTGCTATACCTGGTTACTGCTTAATGGCACTACCTGACAGGTGTAAGGTTTGTGACTTCCCCCACTACTTCTACAGATAAGTAAAGCCCAAAGACTAATGCTTTTGCAGATAACAATGCTATCTTAAAACCCAAAGACTTGTGCTTCCAGAGATAATGTCACTTTTGTAAAGCCTAAGACTGGCCTTTGAAGTATTTTTCACACTCTGTATTCCAGGGGGACCCACTGATGTCAACCGGACCATCGATAGATGTGGGAATGGATCCAACAGCCTTGAGACCCCCTAACCAGGAAATCTCCCAACTGAGAAGATAATCTCTATGAGTTCATCCCCTATCAATAAACAGACCCAATTGCCTAGCTTTTTGCCTGCTAAACTGTCTTTAAAAACACTTTCTCCTAAATTCTCGGGGAGATGGATTTGAGAAATTACTCTCATCTGCTCACCTGGCACCTTGTGAAATAAAACTTTGTCCACTGCAACACCTGCTGCCTCAGTATACTGGCCTTCACTGGGCGGTGGGCAAGGGACCCCGCTGGATGTAGCAGTAGAGCTCCAGTTTGAACCCAACAGGTTAGAAACCGTGATTTAATCTACCGCCGCAATCTACTACTTTTGTGGAATGACTCAGTTGATTGGATAGGTTAATTCTTGAGAGGAAGAGAGGTTAAGAGAGTGGGCAGCAACCCTTGGTATAACCCCTCCTCATATCATGATACCATTAGAAAATTTGACAGGGAAGCCCTAGAATTAAAACCAAGAATCTCCAGTCTCCAAAACCATTCTATGCCTTATCCATCATCTCCTTTTAGTCATTTAAAGAAAGCAAGTTGATTCCTTACCTAAGTCTCCAAGGCCTCGAGGCTCAAGGGATGATCTGGATCTGGCTGCCGAGTTTGATGCTGCCAGTTCTCAATCACTCAGGAAGAGTGATTGTGATGGGTCAAGCCTGGGGCTGAAATCGCTGATAGATGCCACGTGACGGGAAATCGGTAGCTTCTGCTACCTTGAGCTTCGCTCCAATTACTTTGGTTTAATATACACTTACCAGAGCTGAAGGGGATACAAAAAACTTTCTGCCTCACCAGGAGGTTTCACTTCTTGAAAAAGATCCCCGGGGACTGCCTGACGTGCTTCATGCTACCTTAATTAGAAGAACCTCTGCAGCCCCCACCCTGTAAGCAGGTGTAGATGGTGGGTCCCTGAGGACAAGAAGGACTCTAGAAAATCTCCAAAGATGGGCTGTTAGGACTGACTTTTACCTTCTTGCTTCATTTTTAGGAGTGAGTAGGAGGGAAGGAGGCATCCATGCAGAGACTAAAGAGTCACTGAGCCCATATGCTCAATGTTGTACTAATGTGCCCCCAAATATTGCCCTCATTTACTCACTCTTAGGATGCTAGTGGACCATGTAAATATTGTGTCAGATTTAGCAGAAATGGCCTAAAGCATACTTTGGTGTGATAGAACATGTACCCAGAAGCTCAAGGCAAGAGTTATCCTCTATATTTGGAGATACAAATTGAAACAGCACTTTCACCTATGAACCCATTGATGACCTTTTTCTTCCATCTGTCTGGTTCCCTGGTGTCCCCTCTCTTTTCAGTCTGGGCTGGAGCTGTATGGTCATCAAGCCCAGTGCTGGATCAAGCAGGAAAATGGAGGAAGTTGGTGGCACCAGGAGAGTCTAAACATTTGGGAGGTGAATCAAAGAAAGTTTTGCTCAAAGGTATTGTCATCACCCTCCCCTACCATATACAAACTTTATGTTCGTATGTTGGATTTTTAATTACTTTTTAATTTCCTTGTCCATTGTTTTATTTTATTAGAGACACAGAGGTATAGTTAGTAATTATTTCTTCATTTAATCTACAGGGATGCAACATGGCAGCTCTGTTACCTAGTCTGAGGTTCATTCATATTTCTCTCTCATCTCTTCTATTTCTCCCTCCGCCTTTCTGTTTTGTAGATGATTGGAACCACAGAGTTAGAACCAATTGGTTGAAGTAGTCCTGGGAAGGTTGATTTTGGTGCAAAAGGAAAAAAAATGTCATTTTCTTACCATTGGAGCAGTTCGTTATGGGAACTGCTCCAGTGGTATTTGAATAGAGAATTTGCTGTCATCAAGAATACACAAGGGAAATCTATGCAGTCACCTCTCAGAAATGCTGTTAAAGAAAAGAAGAGTGGAAAGACTAGATCCACCATCCATTTAAGATTCTAGTTGCGGGTCTATGCATATCTGGTGAAATGCCTGAATGGTTGGTGACAGGGATGATAATTACATAGGGTGTGGGTTGTGGGAGATTGTGAGGCCTGAGATTTGAGTGCAGGATTGTGGGGTGGTTAGAGGCATGTGCCTTCATTTTAGAGGGCGTGGGAGCAGAGTCAGGACTTGGCAAATGTACGGCATCAGAGAAGCTTGAGTTGGGGTTGCCCAACCTGATCTTTTGTGTCATTTTCTCTGTTTAAGTCCTGTTTTCCCCCAGTCAGTCTTGGATTGTTTGCTACTTTGGTCTTTGTGGCCACAGAGATAACTTAGGTGGTTCTATGTGTGATTCTTCCCAAATAAACTTGAATTTTAATTTGTATGAATGAATAAATGTTTACCTTGTCTTTGCCGATTTGAACTGATTGACCTTTCAGTGCTTGAGTGTGTTGAAATTTGTCAATAGTACCTTCTTTGTACCTTCTTTGATGTATCTCCACCCCCACCCCCAGTTTTGAGGATATTTTATAAGGTCAACAACACATTTAAAATATTTCTCTTTGAATTAATAAGCTTAATGTCATTATCTAGTGGCCTTTTTGCTTCGAAAAGACAATCTCTTAAAATCTACATAAAATATGCCAACTGTTATGTAGTTAGTATTTGCCTGATACAAATTTTTCTTTTATTCCCCCCACCTCCTAGCACTCCATTTTTTAAAAATCCTTAAAACATTTTGCCCCTCTTATGAAAACTCCATTCTACATCATAATTATTTGTGTCCTTGCCTTTCTTGGCCATTGTTTCCATGTCCCTTGAAAGCAGAGTTGCTTTTTCTGATTGCTATGTCCTCTGCAGTTCTATGAGAAATAATAGTTCTGCTTTGGCTCTTTCTCCCATCTAGGTGATTGTCACCAGGTATGCAGTATTAGGAAGTCACATGATGCTGTGTTCCCAACTGCTCAGCAAGGCCCTGGCACCCAGAATTATCTGCTGTTGGAGGGGTTTGGTTTCAGAGAATCGGCAAGGGAGACACAGAGCCCCTCAGAGGTGAGGCTAAAGATTTAATTGCAAATAAAATTTGGTTATAGGTCAAAAGATCCCAAAGTTGTGCTTATAAATAATTCATACTAAGAAAAATACAAATTTGAGTACTGAGGATACAGCTGATCGGTTTTGAACACCTGACAAGAACATAACACAAAAGCTTGCACTTGGTGCCCAGGCTGTAGTCATCTTAGGGGCTAGTGGTCTGGGAAGGAAAATCTCGACCAGAGTCCTCAGCAATTGCACCAACTGGCATACTCATTAGGAATTCCTCCACAAG